TTCCCATCATTAATTTAGAGCTCAGCCCTACTGTACATCACTTACTGTGATGCAGTGTTCTTCACATTTGCTGCCTCACCTTCAGACTGCTCCATAATGTTTGTTTCTCTACACTGTCTCCTTAGCTGTCTCCAGTCATCCTGAATGCTAGCGTAGTGATTTGTGTTTGCCTCTTCACTCGCTAACTGGTGGATTTGCTGTGACGGCCTGTAAGATCTGTCACTCAAACTAACTTGACCTATGTGTTTGCGTGTGTGTTGCCTCCTGTGTGCGTGTGTGGGGTTGTTCATACTCTTTCACTGACATCATTTTGTATACATTGACTGTTTAGTTTCGTTATGTCTCACAAAAAAGTGTGGGGGATGAAATGTGTTTTTAGAAAACATGTGGGTGTTACATCCCCCACGGCTGCAACGCACATGGCCATCAGACTCCTAAATAGCTGACTCAGGATCTTCCATCTTTACTGTTTAGAATCAGAATCAGCTTTATTGGCCAGGTGTGACGAACACACGAGGAATTTGACTCAGGTACATCGGCTCTCAATGTGCAAAACAGTAAACAGCATAAGGCTTTGTAATATAACAAACTACATACTCATTTTGCACATGCATAGTTGCATACTCACTGCTGAGTATTTGCACTCCACGGCTCCCACGTATTCTCCCTGCATTATATTGTGTTATTGTTGTATTTTTATTTGCTTCCTTCACTTGCTGCTTTAAAGTGCCTTAGATTTGTGATTTTACTACCTATTTAGGTTTGTGTTATTGCTCATCTACTTTATATTTCACTTTACATTTCACTTTTTTTATGTGGCATTCATGTGGACGGCAAAGTAAGAATTTCATTGTACAGAGATACACATTTTCTAACTGTGCATATGACAAATAAACACTTTGACGTTTGACCTTTGGTGTACTCACGTCTGGTCCTGCAACCAAACCAGCTTCTTCCTTGTCCTCCTGTGAGTAGCCACTTCCTTCTTACCTGGGTGGCAACTCCCCTCCGTTCCTGCAACCAGGCCAGCTCCTTCATCGTCTTCCTCATCCACCTGTGAGTCATCTCTCCCACCAGTACCTACTCTGCATCTGCCTTGCCTCCCCAGCCACAACTTGCACTCCCAGCTCTCCATTCCCCATTTCTGCACACTCCATCTCTGTACTCTCCAGTCCTCCACTCTCATCGTGGGTCTGGCTTCACCTCTCCTGACCAGCTGTCCTGCACCCACTCCCTCTGTGTGTGAGTACATTGGGTCCCCCTGCCAAGCCTGGTTGTAACAAAAACAAGCATCTATCCATCCATATGAATGAGTGTTTGTAACTTAACAAGAGTTCTGTGTACAACTACATAAAATCATTATAAACATACAGCTTATTCAGCCTATACATACATGCTGATGTCTTTTAGTTGCCAGTGATGACCATCTGACCTTTTCATATACATTGCAGTGGCAAGAGAAGCTTCAGATCTTCAAATCTATCATCACCCCATGCCTGGCCATAAAATGAAAGACATGTTTATACTAAAGTGAAGTGATGATATACATTTGTGAAAATGTGTTAGAGAATGGCCATGCGATTAAAGTCATGCCTGAGGAAAGTAAATATAAGCTCAGTTAATAGTAGGTATTCAGATACACCATAGTCTCTATCCTGCAATAATTAGGCCACATTCATTATAAGTGCAGTTCCAGTGATCTTCAGACAAAGAGCGCACATGACTCAGAGCTCATCTTCAATCCAAAGCAGACCCAGTTTTTCCTTAGTTTTACTTATGACTACCTGATGTTCATCCACTTTTCTTTCTTTCATAGCAGAATCCTTAAGTTTTAAATTAGCCCCTAGGGGTGTCTGTAGACTGATAGACTCACTACAGGTGCACACCAAAAGGAACAAGAAGAGCATGCATTTTCTCTCCCCTTTCACTGAAATAAAAAAAGCTTGATTTGGAGATGCATTATGAGTGGAGGAAAACCTGTGAATTTGTGTCCATCTTTGGTTCAAGCATTGCATTTTTCCTGCAGCTTGTGTTCATTAGCCTAGTGTGGAACTGACTATGTGTAGGGCAAAACGAAGATGAAAACAAACTGTTACTGATTTATGGAAGTTGAATAAGTAGCATACAAGAGGCTGCTTTGAAAGGCAGAGTCCAATGATGTCAGAGTCCAGTAGCACCTTTTTACTACCAAATGTACTAAGGGTGTACTAGGCTCTGTAGAAATTAGAGATGACATGTCACTGGAGTAGGATACCTATAACATGACTGTCAATACAGCTGAGCTAACCATTATCCGAAAACACAAAAAAACAATTATTCACAGATGAGTGGAAAGTCGTCTTAAATAGCAAAAAACCTAGACTAATTAATATTTTTAGTACATGGGAATTATTGGCCCTGTGAACAAGGACAACCTGTGGTTATGGAGCCAGTCATGTTTTTTTATGTTAAATTCTTTTTCAATATTACTAAAAAAATTACATGAATGAATAACATGTTTTACTCTGTTTGTGGAGGGGTGCACTTATACAGTGGGGCAAATAAGTATTTGATACACTGCTGATTTTTCAAGTTTTCCCACTTACAAAGAATGGACAGTTCTGTAATTTTCATCGTAGGTACACCTCAACTGTGAGAGACAGAATCTACAAAAAAAAAACACTAAATCACATTGTTAGATTTTTAAATAATTTATTTCCATTTTATTGCATGAAATAAGTATTTGATCACCTACCAACCAGCAAGAATTCTGGCTCTCACAGACCTGTTAGTTTGTCTTTAAGAAGCCCTCCTATCCTCCACTCATTGCCTGTATTAATTGCACCAGTTTGAACTCGTTACCTGTATAAAAGACACCTGTCCACACA